TGACGACAGAATGCGGCTCGAGCAGGCGAAGCACGGAGGACGAAAGGCAAAAACACACGCTACACGCAAATCCCGGCATCTTCCATGCATCACAACCCCCTCCGGCCTCGTGGTCGTTGACCAACGATCGATAAGAGCCCACAACCACTCACTCCCTAACCACACATAGGAGATGTGACCATATACGACAAGCATCGTCACTGTTAATGGAAGAGGTCACAGCACCCACCCCCCTCATCGTTGCAGAGTGTCGTGTAGCCTGGGGTAATGAGTGACGACAAGGGCCACTCTTTCAGGCGGAGGGTATACCCCTGTTGACGGCGAAGTATGACTAGGGGTCGTGCGTGATGCTAGGTAGAAGCAAAGAATGGAAGATCCAGGAGATAAGGCCTTGTGGACGCAACGATGCAACGTATTTCGGCGAGAATACAGCGCCAGCCGGGTGGATCCGTCATCACGCTTGATAACTCGCATACATCATGACATCAGCATCCCAAAGCGTGAGCTGCAACCCAACGTGGTGGAGGACAATTTGAGAGGTCGTGCCCAAACAACCACCTCGACACCCATATTCGTATTTGGAACCCTGCCGGTCAACGATCGGACTGGAAATACATGTTCTTGCCTGGACGCAAAGGTCTATTTGGCGCTGGTGAAAAGGCCTTTGGATGCAGTTCCTTCATTTTGACGCAAAAGGGGAGCTGTGCTAATATGGAACGAAAGGCATTCTAAACTGTGGTGGCGGGCAGGGAACGACCTTGCCCTCACCGGCTTGCATGCAGGATTGACCCCAGTTCTGACAAAGACTATCACACTCATTCAAGTATACCAAACCAATGGCTTAGCTTGGTCCAGATGAAGCTATCAAAGGCTGGAGGGTGATGTTCACAGGTCGGAAAACGGGCATTACACACCCCATCCAAGTGAAAGGGTTCCCCATTCATCGCCCACCCGCATGACTAGACTAGCAAACACACTCAGAATCCGTCAAAACTCGATTTTATTCAGGCTTGCGATCGGAATGTCACGTAGCAGTGCGACAAGCGCCCGATCGTGTTCCACATAACATGCGCGAAGCCAACGCGCGCGGCAGTACCCATTGGTTTCTTCCGCTGCCCTGGATAAAATAGTCGCCAAGGAGGAATGGCCTGCAGGCCTGTAAAGCCTCCCCACACACGCGGCGGGATTGATCGTTCGCTGCACCATAGATCAATTTTTTTTTCTCCTGCCGGTGCGGTCAGCAGATATTCCATTTCGGGCGAAGGCGAGTGCGGGCGAAGCACGAGCGCCCGAGGAATACATGCCTAAGGCCTGTGAGAGAAGCCCACGTTGGCATCGCAGCGCGAAGAAAGTGACACGGGCAAAATGTCTGAATACGCAGGATAGGGGGAGCGTGGCGGGGAAAAGAGACACGATACGGAGTGAATAAGAACAAACAGGTCTTCTTAGGGCAAGGGATTCCCATTCGACTAACGGTGAAGGATCCGAGAATGGATAGAGTGGCTCTTCATCTGGATTGGCTTGATCGCAAGACACGATGAGTTGCCGACACAAGGGAGGAAAAGGTGCACACAGAATCACCGAGAAACACTGCGAAGAAGTCTCTGGTTTGGTGGTAGAAGTCGAGAACGGAGGATACCGGTTGCAGGACTGTCGCTTGTTCGGTTCCGCTTGGAGGGCCCGGGGAACGCGGGGAGCTCTTCGCTTACCTGTGGTACGAAAATGCCCAAAGGACATCTCTGGCTGTTCATGAAGCGCAGTCGTGGAGAGGCCACTTACGATCCAAATCGGACCTTGTGCGGTCCAACCGGCGACTCTAAGCGGATGAACGGAGAGTCAAAGACTCTGATCAAGCTGTTTGGGGTGGCTCTCCATTTACCATCTTTGGACACCCCAGTTACTATATCGGGGATGGGATGAACGGAACGGTGACGATGATGATGTGGAAATCCGCGAGAGACGAGTCGATGATGCGTTGATCCGCGAGGGCAAAGACGTGTGTGGCATGACAGAAGAATGTCCCAGGTTGCAGCGACAGAAACCGGACCGAACAGCCTCGTGTGGTTTTCAGGCACCCACCATCCGCCCTTACAGGCCTTAGGCCTGTTTGCCGACGTTCTTCCACGTCCATTTACGTCGATCGTGTGCAGGGTTACCACGTCCAAAATAAGCCACTTTGACGTTGACACACGCCCCCAGATGGCCCCGATTGCGTGAAAATGGCGAGTAGGAAGATCACGGAACATGGGAAAGGCAAAAAGAGGCTAGCTAATGGACGCCCATGGAGTCACAAGCACGCTGTCGAAGCCATCATCCGCTTTCATTGCTAAGAGGGTCAGGTCAGGCGGCCGCATTCGACTCGCCCTGCAGCGCAGGCAATCAGTTGCACGGGACCCATTCCTCAGAAGCGGCTTTACTAAATCATTCCACGATCACAAGCAGTCACGGAACACGCTAGAACAGAACAGGTGAGAATGCTCGGGTTTCTCAGGCAGGCTCCTGCCACCGTCCATGTTTATCCATCTCTCGTCTGAGGCAAGAGGGGCCAAAAAGAAACTCCAGAGAAATCGAACAGTAGCGGACAATATATACCCCATCTCTCACATCCTCCAACTTGTTCGCACGAAAGCACAGAGACAAACCTACCCCTACATCGGGTTAGTCCGCTCTCACGAAGGGTTGTGCAGGGAGGTGAGCACCTGATGTCGTCAGCGAAAGGAAGGGCCTTGTCGCATCAACGGTACGCACGCCGTGATAGTGTGATTCTGCGTGTTCGTAGGGCGAGTGCAAGTCGCGCTGCGCAGAATCCGGACGGACATCGCCGACCATGACGCTTCAGGAAGGAACGAGCCAACAGACGTCGATGGGAATAACCCCCGCCCACGGGGTGACATTACTTCAGCCAAACCGCGGGCATTTTCCACTCTATTGCCGCACCATCAACCCCGAATGCCACCAGCAGATTTTGACTTGCAAAGCACCCAGAAAAAGATGTCTAAATATGTGCTTCTCTTCCATCCATACGACCTCTCTGGTGTGACCAATATTTCACTCCATTCTTCGATGCTGCGAGTCTCCAAACAAGGGCGCTCTGCTTCACAGTCTTGGTTTTTGTCCTCCAGACCGTTCTGGGTCGGTCGGCTCAAGCTGGGCCCAGGCGCATCCAAGACGTCTCGAGTGGATCCTCAGGAACACCATCTTCGATGAACCACCAACAACCCCAATAGCGCTGGATGCACGCCGATCGCAAGGCTAGCTCTCATCGCGCTCGCACATGACCTGTCACCGCGCCACACGTTTTCGCTTCTTCTGCGAACTGGTCAGTACGCGAGCAAGGCACTGTTGGAGCCAGATCCATGCGGCACTTTCTGCGATGGTCCCGCCAGGGAGCTATTTTTCCGAAATGAAGGTGGACTACGTGACCGCACTCACGCCGGGTCCCCTTTTTTCTGTTGGGGTGGGCTGCGTGTGCTGGAGGGGCATCGAATTTGGAGCCGAAAGAGCCGTCTGTTTGTCTTTCGGAATCAATCAGCCGAAACACCAAGCATGAGTGTCCAAGTTTCTTATACATTCCCTGTTCAGCCAACGCTCGGAAAACCTCACCGGTAAGACTCGATGTGTGCCATCTACCGCCATAGCCCATAATATTGCCGCACTGCTTCAAGCTTCAAATTTCTTTAGCTGCTCGGCCGTTCTCGATTAGCGAGCGACTGAATCCCTATTCGGCCGGTTTCCTTATCCCAGGGTGCTCCACGGAAGAACTTTCGCTGACTATTTGCTCCCGGTGGCATGTCGCGAATGGATCAAGAAGCTATTTTAATACGACAAGTACGCCCAATGGTCCAGACAAACGCTGGAGCAGTTCCTTTTAGTTTAGCGGAGTTGCCTTTGTAGGTGATCAAGCAGTGCATCTCGCAACGATTGCCCAGCCTGCCCTTCACGCCCCACCTTATTTGCTGTAGTAAAATAAGATTCTTCCAAGGTCGGGTTGAATTCTTGGATCTGCTCGTTGAAAGGCCAGCGAGCCCTAGTTATGGACTGTTGTGGCGAACAGACGGATAATTCCTGATCTCTGAAGTTTCGACCAGTCGTGCTTTGCATCCAAACCTTGTCATTCGCCATCGAGATACGGACCATTTGGGTATCTTCTCTTTCATCCCAGTTGCCATTCGTCAGGATCCCCTCCTCCCATTATTGTCACCCAAGTCGCTTCCGTCGCTCAATATTTTTAACACTTCAAAATCTTGGTTGATGGAATCCGTTATCTAGGCACACGTGCCACCTTCAGAGTCAATATTCGTAGCCCTAGCTGTCGTCGTCGGGGGGAGGTCTTTCTTTCTTTCGGTAGGCTAACGGAGGCTACGGATGAATTCCAAGTGAAGTTATACATTCTACCTGAGATACGGGTGGATCACGATTGGCCTTGAGTTGCCTTGTCCGGCTTCAGAGCTACGATGACTATCACCGGAACCACACTTGCTGCAGGAGTCTTTTAATGTGCATCTCTTGGTCGACGGTTGCGTAAAGTCTCAGACTCGGCTTTCGCCTCGCGATGATTTGTTAAGGGGTCTCTGACTCGAGTAATGAGCGAGTCTCAAAGCCCAGTCAAGTTGTACCGGTCAGGATGACGGCTGTCCTTCCTGCGCGAAGCTCTGGGAAGAGGTGGCCCTAGCAGTCGTATAAGGTTTCTGATAATCTGCACGAATCATCTACTTTTGTGTTAGTCAGAGGACCTGGTGGTGATTATCCGCGAGATTACACAATATTATATCTTGACCATGCCTTCCTCATTCAACACGTCGACTGCGTCGCTTAGTGGTTAGAGCATCCTTTACCGCGCTCAGCTCTGGGAGAGGTGGCCTCAGCAGTCCTATAAAGCTTCTTGTAATGAGAGTGGATGGCTGCAGGGATCATCTAGCTTTGTGGCAGTAGGAGGAATTGCGAGGGGCAATGAGTTGATGATACATTATCCAAAGTTTGACTGGCAAGTGTAATATGTCGACTGCGTCGCTTAGTGGTTAGAGCATCTCGTTGTGGTTACTGCTCAATTCCTTCACGAGCTGCCCCGAGAAGACGGGTGTTCGATTCACCCCGCGGTCAATTTCTTTTTCTGCTTCGTCCTTTTCTTTTTTTGGCGTTACTGCCTCCGATTGTAGTGCTCTGTTTTCCTGGTCGTGATGCCTCTTCGCCCAGGCTTGGCCTAGCATCCCTCTGGCGACATATATAGTCTAGTTGAAGAGAGCAGTGTTTCCCCCAGCCTCCCTACATGGGATTCTCGTTCCCGTTGCAAAGCACCAGTCTGGTGCCGATTCTATTGGCATTCAATCTATTGGGGGCACTGGGAGATGTACCGAAATAGAAATTTCGCCGCCAGGGACTTGCGGAGTTTGTAATTTCTAATTTGACTGTTTGTCGACGCACGTTCAACATGCTCCCGTACTTGCCTCTTGTCACTGTTTCTCGCTCACAACCTCGAAGGAATTGCTCTCAGCAGCTGGGCTACGACACCTTTAATGCAAGCAGAGCAGAAGAGATCTCGTCGAACGGAAGCGGATGAATACAGACAACTCGGATGCCACGCAACCACAGTGAAATGAACTGAACCCTCAAGCCCCCACTACTACCCTCCCAGATAGTAAAAGTCCAGCCAGTGGTACAATGATATAAAGAAACCGAAGACGGGGACGGGTCATACCAGACACTCGGGACCTATCCCAAGGCTCTGGTCGAAAGCAATGGGTGTTGGGAAATGTCGGTTTCACGAACCCTCAGATCACGCCGGCGGATCTGTAGTTTGCTGAACACTCTAGGTTAGCTAGTAATTATCAGAGCTCGCTCCATATTACTCACTTTTTGTCCCTGGTCTTGTCCACTCTCTGGAGGAGGGGCTGGAGCTGTGGGAGGTACGTCCTTGACGGGGGGCGTAGGTCGTCCCCGAATCTCCTCGACAAAGTTATACCTTTCGTACCAAAGTCAGCTGCCATCTCAGCCTTGTAGACGCGCTGCGTCTCGACTCACGGGCATTCTGGTTCCCTGAGCATGATAGCGTGCGTTGTGGATGAGTTCGATCTTAGAAGAAGGTGAAGAGTTGGTTGTCGAAATTTTGGTTCTAGACAGAGGAGAGGACGATGAACTTTGCAAGTATGGAACCCTACGGTAGAATCCTAGTGCTTTTATATAGCCAGGTGAGTCGACCTTCCCTCATCCCGCATTCAAAACTTCCCCTCTAAACGTCAGGACGGTCCTTCTTGATTCCGCGATGCAATCGCACCCAGCAAACACACGGACGCACTGCTTAGCAGTCTACGTGGCCAGCTCCGTTTTTTTTTGGCTCAGTGACTTATGTGTTCCCGGACTTGGTTCCTTACCGCTTCAGGCTCGTTCGCCAACACTGGAGGCTGATCAAACGCGCTGTGGCCTCGTTCTCTCCGACTGGGTTTGGCGGTGATTCTAATCTATGTGAACTAGCCTTTTTTGTGTCGTTGCGTCTATACAGTTTGTTGCATCGTGCCACACCCGGGTGCGGGGCCTGCGTGCGGGCCAACCCACCTGGGCATTGTCGTGATGTACTAACTGGACGCTCAGTCGCAAGCAAACCCCCGCTGTAGCAACAACCTATAGCGTTTGGTCGTACTGCTACCAAGACCGGCGGGCCAATGTTGTTAGCCTTCCCAGGACTGGGGCCAGTTCTCTATCATACACGGCCTCATTAGAATCTGGACCGAGCCCCAACTCCCAAGCGTGCTTGTATATCAACATCTCCCTTGCGCCATACTTAATTGGATCTATCCTTTCGGGCTAAGCGCGAAGACCGGATACTTTGTTGTTACGGCGCGGTCGACACGCACGGAGAACTACTCTTAACCCACTCCCCTAATAAATTCCATCGGGAAATACTTGAAGTGTTTGCGAAGCGCGTGTCTCCTGCTCTTGATCCCATTGCAACTCGCTACAGGCGGCAGTGTGTTGCGTGGCATGTCGATTGAGATGAGGCGTTCGTCAAAGCCCGGTAAACGCGTCTACCAGACGTTGTCAGTCCATGCTACGATGGAGCATTATTCGTGCGTGTGTGTGAGAGAGTCCCTTCTTATTTGATCTCAGACTCATCACGATCATGTTTTATCAATTCCAACAATACACCCGTCCTCGAAAAGCCAGGCTACAGTCGTCGCCCATCGCGCGTTCCTCTAGACAAAAGCGGAGTGATCCAGTGCAAAAATGGCTTAACAGCATTGGGAAGTAGTGTGCCACAGTACTGGCATGTCCAGAGACCCTTCTACTGGACGTTCAATCCACGGACTACGTCCCTAATCGCGCACCCGGCACGACCATTCTCGCCATCATTGCATCCGCCTTCATCTGGCCTCACGATGCATAGCACCTGCGACCTCACGGCCCACCATGACCCATCCGAAATAAGGCCGGTAAATGGCTTAATGCCACTCTGTGCTGTCTCGTCGAGCGACGTCTCGTAACAAGGTCCAATGTCCTTGTACCAAGAGGGCAAGTACAGTAGGCGATTAGTGGGTGGGCCTTCGGCGGAAGCCCACAAATCACTACCCAAGTACGTATTCGGTATAGACTTCTTCTGCTTCGAAATGTGGCTGATCTGGGCTAGCGTTGTTACCGTGTCATCGAACGGCTGGTAATCGGGTTCGTTGCTCTTTGGCCTCACTGTATGCTCACTCCTTAGACTTTTCCCAGCTCCCATCAAGACTGAATCCGCCCGCAAGAAGTGATCGAATTGGAAATTGACCACGTTTGTGGGATCCGAAAGGTCCCCACCGGTCGCGCTGGCTCTCAAATCATCACAACTCCCGAGATCGGTGAAGACCCTCAATCACACAGTGCCATTTGAGTGACCTCGCTCTGTTGTAGGCTGGCGACGTATTTGCAAGTTTGGGTGCCCTCGAGTGGATCTCCAGAAGTAGGTAGAACCGTGGGGTCACTTATATCATCCAACCCCTATCACCTAAGAGTCAAATCAGTCTTATGGCCGCTACCCGTTTTGCTTACGTCAAAACATATGAGCTACCAGATCCAATATTGCCAAATACATATTTTATAGTCCGCATCGATGGCCAATCGTTCCATCGGTGAGATTTCCCAAGTTGGCATCGGTGCTTGCAGCGGCATTCTCCATCCGACAATTCCATATAACACTAGTCCCCGTGTTTTTTCAAATCGACTCACTTTGTCCTCTGTAGGTTCTCCGACGTCCATGCGTTCGTCAAACCAAACGATCTCAGGGCCTTGCAGCTCATGGACAACGCTGCCGAAGACGTTTTGAGGGCTCTGCCCGACGCTGTGCTCGCTTTTGGAGAGAGTGACGAATTCAGGTAACGAGTTACAGGAAATAAGATACAAAGCTTCACTGGCCGATTGATAAATCCCTTAGTTTCCTCTTCCGAAGAAGCGCTACTCTTTTTAACCGTCGAGAAAGGTAATTTTCTATGCTAAAGTGACTATCTGGGTGCCTAACCCTGACCGGGAAGCAAGCAAAATTCTAAGCACCGTCGTGTCGCACTTTACATCGTCATACGTGTTTAACTGGTCGCGATACTTTCCGGACAAGGCACTGCAGTATCCCCCAACGTTTGATGCGAGACTGGTTGTCTATCCTGGCGAGAAGGAGGTCAAAGATTACTTCGCTTGGAGGCAAGCTGATAGTAGGGGTGGTTCTCGACCCCGATCTTTGAAAGGTGCGGCTAATGCCCCGATCGATTTACAGCTCACATCAACAACCTGTACAACACGGTATTTTGGGCGCTGGTTCAGCATGGAGGGATGTCGACCTCGGAGGCGCACCAAAAGCTGAAGGTATTCCTCATTGTCCTAGGCTTCATCTTTCTCGCAGCTGAACCCGGACACGGCACATAGGGGACAGTATCAGCCGATAAAAATGAAATTCTCCATTCTCAATTTGGCATAAACTACAATTCGGTGGATGCAAGATTTCGGAAGGGGAGTGTGGTTGTGAAGGTCCTGGTATGTGGATACGAGGAATCTAATGGGTGGTTCGTTTGGCTAAGACCCAGCTACGTTTGCAGAAACCGGTCGAGGAGTCTCAGGAGGCCTCTAGATCATCGGGTCATAGCGATACCGGAGCGAGCGGCTCCTTCGATCAAGGGGGATCCGAGACTGAAGTTGGGGAGAATGATATCACCGCGCAGAAGATTCAACAGCGACGGGAAAAGAAAGAAGCAAAGAAGGCGGAAAAGGCGGCGATGAAAAAACGAGAATGGATTCTGAGTGTGATGCATTGCGACGTTATCGGGGATGAGTTTTGGCGCTCGCATCCGGACGTTCTCCAGTGACAAAGATGAGGGGAAGTGGCGATTCAAAGTACATGCGTCTCAGTAGCCCATTAATAGAAGGCGATTGAGTAATACGTAGGGATAACCGATTTGTTGCATTTGCACCGTGGTATTTTGGGAGGCGTTGAGTTTTGGGAAAGCATCCGCGGGTAGAAAAGAGTAATATTGCTATAATACAACAACGTTCATGATGGTGGAACAGCTTGCGCTCCTGGTGGTCCAGGTACGGAGTCTGGTTGTATAATGAATCTCGGTAGCGACACTGTAATGAGACAACCCAATGCAGCGCTAAGGAAGATGATGAGCGGGTGAGGAACTGCATGCAGCACGGGGAGAGAAAGAAGGAGGGATGACGTACAGAATGGCGGTGAAGCCCATTCCTCCGTCCTTGAGCCTGAGCGGCTGCTGATTGAGGTATGCAGAGACAGACATGAAGAGCGCAGGCCACACGAACAGTCTTGGCGAGAGGCAACATCAGCTCCTGCCATGTTTGTGCGGCAGTACGAAAATGGTACTAACTGGTTGCGGGTGACCATTGCGACTCCCGAGAGCAGCATGGCAGAGGAGGAGGCATTGTCTTTGATTGGGATGTCAGTCGACGAATGAACGTGGAAAGAGGAAAAAAAAGATACCAGAAGCGGTTGACCATGCTTTTGGAAGGGTGAAGGAGACTGAGAGCGAGTCGTCCCTTGGGTCTTTGGATGAAGGTGCCATTTCCCGCTCTTGTTGTACAACTTTGGGGCGTGGTCGAAATTGGAACGGGAGGGAATGTGGTCACGTGGA